CTTCTTGCTGTTTACTTTACAGCTAACAAACAAAACAGACTTCTAGGGCAGGCCGAACTTTAACAGAAATAAAACAAAATAAAATAAATTAAAGAGATCCAAAGATCCAGATCCTAAGAAAAAATAAGGGAAAAAGAAAACTTGTAGAAATAATAAAATAATTCATCAATGTGAATCAAAAATTTCCAGCCTAGATTCAATCCATATGCAAGCCCATTAGCCAAATAAAAAGAAAAAGAGGGGGGGGGGGAATGAAAACCTTAGACAAGACTCAGTTTGTTGCTAGGTAAAAACCTTGATTTTGCACCTATTAACTTTTTTGATGAATGTAAGAGGCCTACCAGAGTAGTTTCAAGTATGTTGACCCATGAAGGTTATAATTCCTTTTCACTGCAATATTCTATTTATATGCTAGGATGGATCCATGTCAGATGCCCACTCAAGCTCTCCAAACCACCAATAGAAATTGTCCAATTTTGTGAACTATTTCCATGGACTATGATATAATGGTGTTGGAACTCGGAAAATATGGTAGCTCAGGCAAGAGTCATACTAAAATATGAAGCCAGTCTCTGATTCAAGATGTTTACAGAGTTTATTCAAATTTACAAGGCAACTTAATTAAGCCTTCTCATCCATTGATTGAAATGAGTCAATTTTCATTTTCTATGATTCTCAAATAAGAGTTCAGATATAAATTATGACATATTTGAGCAGCACTTGTTTTATATTTAGAGTAGTAGATCACTACAGGTGGTATAGAGATTCCAAGCTTATTTTCCTTGTTTCTCATCTCTTTAGTAATACAATCCTCTTACTAATAGAAGTTTCATTTCCTATGAGTATAGTGAAATAGAGATGTCAACTGCCTTGATTTGGCTGTATGAATTTATTCTATGAAGAAAACATGAAGAATAAATAAGACTACGTCAACGGACTTACAAAAACCAGCCAACACCGATGCCACAGCAAGGAAGGCGGCGCTCTCTTACAGGTCTTCCTTCAGCTATTGCATAAGCTTCAATAACATCAAAACAATATTAGAATCTGAAAGGTCACAAGCAAGAGAGAGAGAGAGCAAAAATTTACAGTCTCACTTCAAGGTGGTTGTTGTTTATATATATATATATCTTATGAGCACTAGGGCTGCATCTAATTTATTATGTTCATAGGGCTGTGTACAATGTTATAGACACTAAGTTCAGAAATCTTTTAGTAGAAATCTATCTAGAAGTAGCATTTTCTGGCCTTCAGAGTATATATTAACTGCTTTCCTAATGTTTTTGGAGTAGAGGACCTCCAAGGTGGAACCCATCAATAAGATGATTTAGATTAAACACCCAAGATGTGTACTTTTATTTTGAATTGAGTAACAGATCAAAGAGACTTTTCTGATGAATAAGCAAGTAAGCAGCAGGATGAATGCGGAAGTAGAAATCAGCTGGGCTGAGGCCAACCTACTACCATATATAGAAGAAGAAGTGTGATTCATCCCTACTAACTCCATTTTAGCTAATTTCAGCTAGAGAGTTGGCAGACCTTTCAAACCATCTCAACAATGTATTCACGCTGGACACAAAGACCATGCTCCTGTAACAAGGTGAAGATATAGCCACAGGACTGTGCTACTGCTCTTGTTCACCAACTTACAACATGAGAGAGCCCTATAATTTCCAATATCATACCCATTTTTTCTTTTTTTAGTAGAATTATTATTTTTCTTTTTTGATCAGAAACGATAACTTTCATTAGAGATAAATTAACCTGAAATACAGAATTCAACCCTTATTAGAAAAGGTTGAGCCAATAAACATCAAACATTACAGCATTGCCCAAAAAAGACTCTCCCTTGCAGTCCCTTGTTTTGCTAGGGCGTCAGCAAAACCATTTGCTGATCTCCTTACCCA